GGAACAGTGCTTGCTGGCTGCTCGCTGGCGGTGGCTTTGGCTAAGGTACTCTTGTATGACCTCCTCGCCTCCCTTGCTCGTTCGGGCCCAGCTGTGATGATCCGCAACGTTGTGGACGATGTCCACGTTCAGGTCGTGGGCACCCGACGGTTTGTGGCAGACCAGCTTGGACGTGCTGGTCGAGCGTTGGCCAGTGGTTACCAGAGGCTGGAGCTTGTGCTTGCAGAAAAGAACACACACTTCATCGCGTCGTCGTTGGAGCTAGCGGAGGACCTGTCCAGCAACTGGGCGGGGCTGCTCTTCTCTCGGAAGTTCTTTACACAATCGTTGGGTACTGACGCGCATGCCAGCAAAAAGAGAGTGATGACAACTGTTTCCAAGAGAGTGAAGACAGGTTTCCGGTGGTCGTACAAGCTTCAGAAACTCAAAAGCGCGGGAACCAAGGTTGGAAGCATTCAGAGGGCTGGGCCCCTCGCGACGGCCTTGTGGGGCTCGGGCGTTTCTGGATTGTCGATGAAGCAGTTGCTTGGCCTCCGCCGTTCCACTGTGCATAGTTTACATAAGGTTAAGAAAGGGGCCTCTATTGGACTCAAAATGGGGACCACCAGAGTGGGCCGCCTGATGGACCCACAGAGGCTCTATCATGCCCAAGTGGTGGGGCACTGGGCTAGGGCAGTCTGGCTAGGTCGGCCTCCCCTGCATATCCTCCAGAGCACTTTAGAGGGGGCAGCTGCAGACCTCAGCCAGGCTCAGAACCCCTGGAATGTTGCTTCCAGCCCAGCCCATGTATACTTTCTCACTTTGCAGCAGCTAGGGTGGCAGGCTCCCTCAGCGGCCCAGGTTGTCACTGATACTGGAGAGACTGTTGACCTTCGCCAGCTCGGACCCAGACAGGTCCAATGGATGGCGGCCCGAGCCGCCAGTAGCCTGTCAGATGTTATGGCGCTAGCAAGGCTGGACGAATGTGGTTGGGTCCGCCCCGTGTTCTGGAAGCCCCTTGTACAGCTGCTGTCTGGGCCCACCACTGATGACTGGACTGAGCGACACAAGGAGTCGCTCCGATCACCTGTCAGCCAGCAGCAATGGTGCCAGGCCAAGCAAGCCAGGCACGGCAAGGCGGATACAGATGTCTGCCAGTTGTGCTGCAAGTGTCCTGGGACGGTCTGGCATCGCCGAATCCATTGTGAGGATTGGCGCGACCTCCGTGCCAAGTATGTCTCTCCTGGAATGCTCAAAGCGGCTGCGGCTATGCAGCTCACTGGTCAGGACCTGGACAAGGCCGCCTGCGGCATTTTTCTTTTTTTTTTCCCCTGGAGCTGGTCCCTCGGCCCCTCTGGGATTCGGAGTCCGAGGTTGTCTGGGTTCAGAAGCCAGAGTGTGGCTTTATGATTGGATTTTTTATATATATATATATATATATATATATATTGTCTCTCTCCTCTCTCCGATGGCTCGGCCATCTTTCCGACCTGCCCCTTGGCGAGGAGGGTTGGCTGGAGCCTTGTGCAGCTGGATGATGAAGGACAGATGTTAGCCGCCGCGTATGGTCCCGTGCCGTGGCACCTCGGTCCGTTCCAAGCTGCCCGCGACGGTGAAGATGTGGCCATTTTAATGGCAGCGCGTGGGCTTGCGCAGGGTGGCGTCACCTTCTATATTGACTGTCAGGGAACGGTCGATTGTGTCTCAGACCCAAGCCGTGCTTGTAGCGCTGCCAATCCCAGATGCCATATCTGGGAAGAAGTCCACCGTAGCCTGCCTGATGCGAGGGCGGTCAAGGTGAAGGCCCATCTCCCGTGCAGCGCGGTGACAGAAGGCCGCATCTCGGTATTCAGCTGGGCGGGAAATAGGGCGGCGGACATCTATGCTGCTAAAGGTGCCGCTCCCCGCCCCGATCCCAGCCCAGGGTATGATGCGTTAGATTGCCTCCAGGAGGCCGTCAAAAGGCTTCGCCAAGTGGGCTGCCGTCCAGGAAGTCCACATGGCTGAGGCTGAGGCTGAGGCCTTCGACTCCCGCCCGCCCCCTCCTCCTCGGCTTCGGGACGGGGGGGGGGGGGGGGGCGGCGTGGACGTGGGGCGACGGGGGGGGGGGGGGAACCCAGGCGCGCCCGAGGGCGCCGCGGCCGTCGGCGATCCTGGCCCGATCGCAGCGGCGGCGCATCTTCAGCCCAACAGCGACTGGCGAGCTCGAGGTTTTCGCCGTGCTCCAGGGGCACACGATCGAGGAGGCCAGTGTCTTTCTGGTGTCCCCCCCCCCCTCTCCCCCTCCCAAGAGTAGCAGAGTCTTTATCTGCCGTGCCTGTGGTGGATATGCATGGGGTGGAATTCAATCCTTGGCGAGGCGGTGCGACGGCCGCCCCACCACCACCACCTTCACCCGCCAGCTCAAGCGAGCGGGAGAAGGCAAGTTCCCTTGTGGCTCCAAACAATATGTTGGCTGGACCGTCGGGCCTTGGAAGGCCACCTCGCCCCAGGCCTTGATGGGCCTCCTCGCGCCCAAGGCGCGGCATGTTGTTCTGGGCCAAAACCTGCCTTGGGCTTCCATCGAGATTTGGGGCCCGTGGCTTGATACTGACCCCTTGCTGGCACACTTCGGTCTCAACGCTGATCGCCTTGATCAGATGATAGCCGAGAGACGTGCCCTTCTCGAGCAGAAGCAGCGTGAGCGTGCTCGAGACACCCACCAATGTGTGCGTGTGCGGTGTGCTTCATTTCTCACGGATTGTGTGTGTGTGTGTGTTTGTGTGTGTTTGTGTGTGTGTGTGTGTTTGTGTGTGTGTGTGTGTGTGTGTGTGTGTGTGTGTGTGTGTGTGAATGCCCCTGGCGCGCATACTCTTGGTGAATGAATGAACAGGATGAGGATGAGAAGAGGAGGATAAGGAGAACGAGGATGAGGAGGAAGACGGATAGGAGAAGGAGGATGAGCAGAATAAGGACGAATATCATAGGATTGTTCACTCCTCTCGGGTTGTGGTGCTGGGTGGTCTCCTTGTTTCTCCTCCTCCTCCTCCGCATGTTTTTCTTGTTTTGTTTTTGTTTTGTTTTCTGCCTCCTTCGCCAACAAGGCTTGCGAAAGGAGCATGGTCGACAACCCACGCTGACAAACGAGCAGCGTGAGGAGGAGGATGAGGATGAGGAAGATGAGAGAAACCAGGTGAGAGGTAGTAGGACAAGGAGGAGAAGGAGGAGGAGGAGGAGGAGGACGAAGAAGAGGAATAGGAAAAAAAACTGAGTGAGGGGTAGGAGGATGAGGCAGAGGAGGAGGAGGACGACGACGAGGAAGAGGACATAAAGCTGAGTGGTAGGAGGAGGAGGAGGAGGAGGAGGAGGAGGAGGAGGAGGAGGAGGAGGAGGAGGAGGAGGAGGAGGAGGAGGAGGAGGACAACGAGGAAGAGGTGATGAACCAGGGTGGGGGGGCAGGAGGAGGAGGAGGAGGAGAAGGAGGAGGAGGAGGAGGAGGAGGAGGAGGAGGGCCAGGAGGGGGAGGAGGAGAAGGAGGGTCATCGGAGTGATCGCTCGGTGGATCACGGGGTGCTGAGGGGGGGGGGGCTGAGCTACACACACACACACACATATATATATATATATATATATATATATATATATGTATAAACCGCCAGTTTCGACGCGGACATTGACATTTGTGACAGGCCTAAAGGTTGGCACCAACATCAATATCGGCGGTGTGCCCCCACCGAGGGAAGAGGATCCCGATCTCGGTGATCGTGGCAATACTGTGGCTGCCAAGGTGACCGACATATTACCACCGACGCCGAAATCTAGGTTTGTCTTGCCCCTGTGCAGCCATCCTGTGTTGGCCATGCCTATTTCCAGGCCTCCAGATTTGGTGTCCGGGGGCGCCGCCACGTCGCTGAAAACATCTTGCGCTGGCTTTCGCGGAGGCTTCCGGCGCCGAGGGTCCAAGGTCCAGGGCCCCCCCTCGGCGCGCTGGGCCCGGCCAAACGGGCGGGCGGGGCTCGGCTTCGTGGCGGAGTGACCTTTCGCCAGAGTGACCTCTCTTCCCAGACCCCCTCGGGCAATGAAAAAATCATGACGGGAGGTTTTTCGCAAATTTCGGCCTTTGGGGATCCTTTCTGGCCCTCGGGAGCGATAAAAACCAACTCAGGATGAAACACCGGTCCAGGGGAATGGGTCGAGACCTCCTGGGGTCGACGTAGTGAAAAAATCATGACGTCGGGGGTCTGGGTTGCGGGCCCGCACCCAGACATGCGAAGTCTTGCTTCACTCAATGCGGGGTCCCCTGGACAGTCCCGAAACCCCTCCCCCCAGGCTGGCTTTTTTCATCCCGAGCTGTTTTTGTCCACTGTCCCGCGACCCTGCGAGGATCGGAGAAGGCCCCGACGGGCCAGAAATAGCGAGACATCTCCCGTTTTTTTTTCGACGCGATCTTTTCTGGGCAGGGGTGCCCCCCAGCGCCGGCCTGAAGCGGCTCGCTTGCTCGAGTTCGGTCCCCTCGCGACCCCCCAAGCGCCGCGCGCTAGAGGTCGCTCCTGTCCAGGGCCTCCCAGATGGGATCGGAGTAAACGGGGTCGGAGGATCGCGCCGTATCGCCGATGCATCGGCGACCCAGACCCTCTCGGGTAATGAAAGAATATAACGGGACGTTTTTTGCAATTTTCGGCCTATGGGGGCCCTTTCCGGCTCTCGGGACCGTCAAAAAACGACTCGGGATGAAGAACCGGTCCCAGGGAATGGGTCGTGACCTCCAGTGGTCGACGTAATGAACAAATCATGACGTCGGGGGTCTGGGGACGCGGCTCGATGTGCAGCCCGATTTGCTTCACGTCGACGTCGCCGATACAGCGCCCACGTTGACAATGCATCGCCGGTGCATCGCCGGAGCATCGCCGGTGCATCGCCGATACATCGCCGACGTACCGGCGAAGCGGCGCGATCCTCCGACCCCAGCTACGCCGACCCCATCAAGGAGGCCTCCAGACGCGCTGCCGCGCCCGCGCACGCCCTCGTTGGCTCGAGCGCCCTTTCGGCGCCCTGGCGCGCGCGCGCCAGGCGGCGGGCCGGCGGGCCGCGCGGGGCGGGCCAGGGGGCCCCGGGAGGTCGAGGCGCGAGGCTCGCCCCCAGACAGGCTCGCGCCGTGACAGAAATCACGACGGGAGTTTTGTTGCTGTTGTCGTTGTTGTTGCTGCTGCTGCTGTTGTTGTTGTTGCTGCTGCTGTTGTTGTTGTAGTTGTTGTTGTTGCTTTTGCTGCTGCTGCTGCTGTTGCTGTTGCTGTTGTTGCTGTTGCTGTTGCTGTTGCTGTTGCTGTTGCTGTTGTTGTTGTTGTTGTTGTTGTTGTTGTTGACCATTGTGTTTTTTGGAATTGAAGTGCTTCCCCAGGGGCTCGCATCCTGTTTTTTTTTGTTACCAGGGGAAGTCAGGGCTCGAGCTGGGCCCCTGGCCCTGGCCCCCGGTTTACAACAACAACAGCTCCCGCCTTATACTTCCTCGCAATGTATTCCCAAGTCGCTCTCTCGCGCGGGACTTCCTCACAATTCATGTACGCATCGCGCTCTCGCGTCGGACTTCCTCGCAATTCATTCAGACGATGTGCCCTCGGCGCTCAGGAATCACGCTCCCGCTTTGACTTTTCTTACGATTTACTTGGGAATCGCGCTATTGCTCCAGGCTTCCTTGCGATTCATGCAGGACCCACGCTTCAGCAAGCCACCTGCTCGACCTCGTCGCCTGGGCCTGCCTTCCCGACCTGCCCGCTATGGGTCTGCCCACTCGATCTGCCCATCTGGTTCTACCACTTGTTTTCTGCTCCTTGCCTCCCTCCTGCTAATTTCTCTCGTGCTCCATTCTTCTCCCTCCCCCTTCCACCCGTCCTCCTTGTTTTAGGGGCTGCGCTAAATGCACGTGGCAGGTAAGGAAGGTATACTCCCAAGGGGGTACGATCGAAGACGACGAGGGCGGGTACCGAGGGTTTGGGATATACGCATGGGTTGGCACGTGAGCAGATAGGAGCGAACGATCTTACAATGATTGTGGTTGCTGTTGTTGCTGCTGCTGGTGTTGGTGCTGTTGTTGTTGTGGTTGTTGTTGTCGTCGTTGTTGTCGTTGGTGTTGTCGTTGATGTTGTTGTTGTTGTTGTTGCTGTTGTTGTTGCTGCTGCTGCTGTTGTTGCTGTTGTCGTGGGTTGCTGTTGTAATGGGTATGGTTGTTGTTGTTGCTGTTGCTGTTGCTGTTCCTGTTGCTGTTGCTGTTGTTGAACATTATTTATTCTAAAGAATAATTATTGTTGGGCCCCCTGGTGCGCGCCCCCCCTGCGCCGCCTAGGCCGCAGCTACATTTTCATCATTTTCGTGAGGAAGCCTCAGAAAAGAGGGTGTGTACAGGATCCGGTTGTTTTGTTGTAATCCGCTTTCCCTTGCAAAAAACAATAGAAAATGACATTTCTTGTTCTAATATAATCAAATTTCAAGAATCCCTTGCAAAAAATAAGGTAAAGTGGACATTCGCGCGCGCAAGACGAAATCCTTCCAAAACCTTAGTGTTCGCAACGATTTTAACATAAAAACATCAAAAAACCAATGGTTTTTCAACAAAAAAATGTCAAAATCTCATCCCGCGCGCTCTTGCGGATTCGTAGGAAACCCAACACTTTTTAAACATTTCTGTCAAACGGGCTTTTGCGAGCAACTTTTTCGAACTTCTGCGACAACGGTTGCGCACCTGCCAGGGCCATCATCCCTGTCAAATAATACCATGCGGGACACATTCGTTTTTTCTTCGCGCGCGCACGCCGAAATCTCCAAAAACCATTGGGCTTTTAAGAATTTTAGCACCGCGCATCATAAAATCACACGAATCGCACCGTAGGTCCTCGAAAAACACCTGCACGACTTTTCAAAATTTCTACCCGCGCGCGCTGTCCGAATCCTAAAAAAACCAATGGTTTTCCAACATTTATGTTACATGAGCTCGCGCGAGCTACTTTCGCACGCTCTTGCAACGGGGTTCGCGCGCCTGCCAGGGGCCACAATCCCTTGCGGTTGCGCCATAGGTTGCGCCCTCGGCCGCCGAGAATAAAACGTCCCCCTATTGGTTGCGCCATAGGTTGCGCCCTCGGCCGCCGAGAATAAAACGTCCCCCTACTGGTTGCGCCATAGGTTGCCCCAGGAGGCCTTCAAGAGGCCCCAAGAGCCCGCCGTGAGGACCCAATAAGCCCCCAAGAGGCCCCAAGATGCTTCCAAGAAGCCCCCCAAAGCCCCTCAAGAGGACCCCAAGCGGCCCAGGAGGCTTCCCCCCTGCCCTGTGGGTTAACAAGGCTTAACAACTTCTGTGGGTGTACGAACGTAGGCTTAACAACTTCTGTGGGTGTGTACTCCACGCCAGTGTAGTAGCCACGGTCGTCCGCAGGCCACGAAGTGAAGTGTCCGAACGTCATAGGGCGGGAAGCTGGGTGTGGGTGGTGGCGAAGAGTCGTGTGGATATTTGGTAGAGCTTGCACTGCCCCCCCACAAAGTGGGGGTATTGGCTGGCGTCGCATGAAAACCCTGGCACTGGTGAGAACACTGAGCGTTCGGGTAAAGTGATTGTTGTTGTTGTTGTTGTTGTTGTTGTTGTTGTTGTTGTTGTTGTTGATGAGGACGTGTTGCTAGTGCCCCGGGAGGAGTTGCGCGGGGGGGGCGCAACGCAACCGTGCAACGCTCGAGCGCGAGCGCGGTTGCGTGCGGACCCCCCTCCCTCGCAACGCCCGCAGGTGGTTGCACGCGTTGCGCCCCCCCTTGCGCGTCCTGCCGAAGGCCCCAAGAGGCATCAGGGGGCACCAGTGGCTGCGCTCGCATGCGCCCACCGCGCGCATTCTGGCACATCCCTCATACGTTTCGTGGCCCCACAGGGAGCTCCACCGAAGCCTCATTTCGGCACACCCCTCTCGAGGATCGTGGCCCTGGCCCTACAGGGAGCTTCACCGAAGCTTCATTTCGGGACACCCCTTCTCGAGGATCGTGGCCCTGGCCCCACAGGGAGCTCCACCGAAGGTTCATTTCGGCATACCCCTCTCGAAGATCGTGGCCCTGGCCCCACAGGGAGCGCCACCTAAGGGTCATTTCGGCACACCCCTTTCGAGAATCGTGGCCCTGGTTCTACAGGGAGCTCCACCGAAGCACCATCTCGGCACACCCTCTTGAGGATCGTGGCCCTGACCCCACAGGGAACTACACCGAAGCACAATTTCGGGAAACCGCTCTCTCGAGGATCGTGGCCCTGGCCCCACAGGGAGCTCCTCCGAAGCGTCATTTCGGCACGCCCTCTTGAGGATCGTGGCCCTGGCCCCACAGGGAGCTCCACCAAAACATTTCTGCACACCCCTCTCGAGGATCGTGGCCCTGGCCCCACAGGGAGCTTCACCGAAGCTTCATTTCGGCACACCCCTTCTCGAGAGAGAGGGCGAGGCGCAGCAGGCGCGACGGAAACGCCAGAAGGGCACCCGCCTGCTGTTCAAGCTTGCCCCGGGTTCGTCGACTGGCGTGGGCGCAGTCGTTGAATCAACCGGCCGCTACCGGACCGAGGCGGGCGAGAAGGCTTCTGAACTTCGTCGACACTGGGCCGAGACCTTTCGTGCTCGCGGCGTCGACGAGCGCCGCTTGGCGGCGTGGCTGGAGGAAGACGCAGCTGGCAGAGCGGAGCAGGGGTCACTGCACACTGATCTTCAAGGCTTGCAGCTACGACGGCGGCATTTTCAGAAGGCGTTGAAGCTCTCCAACAGCTCTGCGCCGGGCCCCGACGGGATCCCCTACGGGGCGTGGCGTGATGTTGCAGGACAGGCGGTCGACGCGCTCTTCGAGGCCTTTGAGGAGTTGGTGCAGGACAACGGCTCCGACAAGCTTTGGCAGTACTACCCCGGTGTCAACGAAAGCCTTCTCTTCTTCCTCCCTAAGAAGGCGGAGGGGGTCACCGAGTCTGGCGCACTTGTCTTTTCGGCATCGGGTGTGCGCCCGCTGAACGCCACGAGTTGTGATAACCGCTTGTTTGCCAGCGCTGTTCGATTGGTCTTGGAGCCGAACATCGAACCGCGCATCTAAGAGGACCAGAAGGGGTTTCTGCCGGGGCGCTCGATGATCGCTAATATCCTGGATGTGGACGAAGCCATGATCCACGCTGGGGCACAGGGAGAGACTGGTATGGCGCTGTTCTACGACTTTGCGGCGGCGTTCCCGTCGATCGAGCGTGCGTTTTTCTTGCAATTCTTCGCCGAGCTGGGATGGCCACGATGGTTACTCAACTCCGTCGGCATTTTGTATATGGACAACACTTGCGTCGTTCAGATTCACGGCGAGAGATATCCTGGATTCCCAATCACTCGCGGGATTCGGCAGGGGTGCCCCTTGTCCCCACTACTGTTTGCTATGGCCACCGACCTTATGCTACGTCGTCTTAAGCGCGTCGCCCCTGCCGCGCGGTCGCCCGCGTGGGCTGACGACCTCGCCATGGTGCTGTGCGACGGTCTCGCTTGGCTGGGCACCCTACAGACGTTCTTCGTAGACTTTGAGGCAGTGTCCGGGCTTGCGCAGAATATCCAGAAGACCGGCCTCGTGCCCCTGTACCGGTACGACGAGCAGGAGTTGCGCGCCAAGGTGGCGGAGAGGGCGCCCGAGTGGACCGGCGTTCGGATTGAGGCTCCGCCAAGTACTTGGGATTCTTCGTGGGGCCAGGCCGAGCCACCCTGTCTTGGGACAGCCCGTTGGCCAAAAATATAGAGCGGGCCCGCACGTGGGACCGCTTGTGCCTTGGGCTCTGTCTCGCGATGCAAGCGTACAGAGTGTATGTCTGTTATGTTTTGCTTTTTGTTGCCCAACTCGAGGACCCCCCCCCTCCCTGAATTTTAACGAATTTGAGCTGAATGCCTGCCGAGCGTTGCTTCCTGGTCAGCGGGGGTGGATCATTCCTCCCTGTCGCTGCCCGACTTGGCCGCGACGGCGCTTGCCGCCAAGGCGAGAGTCGCGACTTCTGAGAATCGCGCACGCGGCGGACTCAACCTCCATGCTCACGCGGTCGCGCTGTT